TATTTTCCCTTTTATTGTAAAGTATCAGTTACGATTTTCTTACTATAAATCTTCACTATTTTTAGCTTACTTTTAGTAAATTAGTATACTTGTTATAAAAACTTTTAGCGGTTGATACTACATTGTGTGTTTATTATGCGTCACTCTTCATTATACTATATAATAGTATATACTAACTCCTACCTTTAACTTAATCTGTTGAGTTAAAGTTTGGAATCGGTTTTATTTTTCATATGTTAAAACTGATTAAACTCAGGTTTAACGTATGAAAAATAAAACTGGTTCAAACTCTATGTTGAGTAACATTACACAATTAAATAATATGACACGATCCTATGGAACATAAACTGCCGATCCTATGTAATACAAACTACCGATCCTATATAACACAAACTGCCGATCCTATGTAATACAAACTGCTGATCCTATGTAATACAAACTGCTGATCCTATATAATACAAACTGCTGATTCTATAAAAAATACATGTCTAATAGATTCAAAATCATCATAGGCGTGTTTTATAATAAATGATAAAAAAAATGTTCAATTTATATATTGTGTCATATTTCCATAAATCTGAAATTCCTTATAAAATAATGTATAAAAATTCTAGAAATTTTGCAATTGAAATTATTTAATTACATGCACTTAAATTTATAAAATTATAAAAAATTATATAATGCCTATTTCATAATAGTAGGAAACAGCTTAAAAAAAATATATTATTCATAGCTAAATTTATGGGAAAGAGTACCCTGAAATTAGCAACGCTGAAAACTGGACATCCTGTGACTGTGGAGTTTCTATACCTTGCGTTTTAGTAAATGGATCTGTACCTTCAACTAGGTCAGTGTATCGTTGAACGTCAATAAAGGTATGTACAATTATATTTACAGTGTTTTGAGGTCTTGAAGACTGTGTGCCAGTATTTAGAGTCCTTTGAAGTAAGCCACCGGCATTCTGCGGACCACTAACATTGTAAGATCCTTGTGGCTGGCCATTATTCTGCGGTTGAGCACTAACAGATTGATTTGTAGAATGGCTCATGATTAATTTTTTTTAGTAAGAAATATAAAATAAACTTTGTTAAGAAGTTATTTTTTATTTTGAGATAAAAAAAATAGTAGAAGTTTTTTTTACGAAAAAGAACATAGAGATGAAAACAAAAGTTTTTATACTTTTTCAATTTGGATGCCTGTTTGAGGACATTATATGATGAGGCTTCCTATGATTTGGAATCAAAAGTAGGCATGATTAAAAAAATAACTTTTATTCGAGGAAATTTCAGACATATATGGATGCCGAAATTACAAAGAAAAATTAAAACAATTTCCTTTTTTGAATTTCGGCATTCATCTATAACTTCAAGTTTTTTTTTATCTATAGTGAAATGCATAAAATGCCTGAAGTATTTTAATTTTTTCCGATTCGGAATGCTTTAAAGCCTCGTAATATTTTTAACCCCTTTAGTTCCCGAAAATATTAGATTCCGCATTTTTCCTATACAGTAAAAAAAATTTCATTGTTTACTTTTACGAATTCTTTGTGACGAATTCTGGCGTAATTTATTCCTTGTAAACCTACCTGCATCCCCATAAAAATTTTATGATCTAAATGCCACAAGTTCATCAATGATAACATTTAAATTATTTTATCAAAATAGGAAAGTGTATTTTTAATTCAAAATTTCAATAAACATCTACATAAATACAAAAACTAGTTAATTATTATAGTAAAAACACTTTATTCGTAACTATAATACCTGATTAAAAATTCTGATTGGACATCCAAACAAACGGATATTTATATAAGCCTATAATTTATAACTCATTCTTTTTCTTTTGCATGACATTATTGATATTAATTAATAGAATAAATAAAATTTCGATTAAAAGCAGCATAAAACTTTTTCATGTCCGAATGAAATTCTGTAAATAATAATAATAATAATTATAGCTGTTTTCAAAATAGTTGAGGGTACAAAAAAAAAAAATATTATTTTTATAAATTCTTGAATACTCGAATATCTGTTTGGTTTAAACTAATCAGATATTCAAGTATTCGAGCATTCATAAAAAAAAATTTATTTTTTTTTGTACTCTCGTCTATTTTGAAAACAGATGTAAAATGAGTTAAAGATAAATAAAAATATAAGATAAAATAAAAATAAATAAATGTTTGCATCGTATAGCATTATGTACAGTACATATTTTTAAAAATTAAGCTTAATGAAAAAATATCAAAATTTTTTGGCGCGAAATGAAAGTTTTGTGGGGTAAGTTTGGGTAGTTTACAATCGATTGAAGGTTGTGAAACCAAAAACTTTTAATTATTAATAAGCTAAACAAACTTTAAAGAAAAAACATTATTACATCACTGTTGCACTAATTTGAATTAAATACTAAATTCAGAAATTATAATGACCCCAGATGGGAACCCCTAGCGCACCCACAAAAATTTTCCCACCCGTGATTTTTGGCCAATCAAATTTCAAGATCAGGTGTAACGTAAACAAACGAAGCGAACCCATTTTTTACAAATA